CTTCCCCACCCTCCTGCCCTCTCCTCCGGCTGCCACGGCAGCACCATGTAGAATGAAAGTGAGTTGCTCGATTGGTGTTTATATAGCCGTGTGAGTGTTATCATAGTCATGAAAACAACATCCCGATCCGTAGCCATTCGAGCTCCTCCTGTTTTTTCTCAAGGCATTTGCAGTAAGAGTTACTGAGGGAATGTTTACGTTGAAGTAGACCTTGGTATACTGAAGATTTGCCAGTGCCGCGCCGCTCTTCCGTTCACTCGCTCACCTGCGTACTTTTGCCACTTGTTGACTATTAAGTGTTTCAGTTACAAACGTATGCAGTACGAAGACAGTGTACGCGAACAACAACAAGTTGGATCAAATGCTTATGAAATGTCTTCCAAACGAGAAAAATTGTACCATGTCGACTGCGAAAAACCGAGCGATGCCGTGGAGAAGTTCTAGATGACATTAAGAGCGTAGAACCGTAGATTGCACAGTTAAGGTTCACATTTCCATAGAGAAGAACACCAGGATTAATTTTTCGGCAAAGAGCAGAATCACATCTTCCAATTCTTCTCATTTTTCTTGCCACTTTCTTCAATTCGGTCACTCTTAGTCATGTTTGAAGGGAGTTTAGGGAACGATCTCACATTTATTCTCAGGGTCTAATGAGCTTGGATTTCTCCGCCCGCTTTTTCATTTCGTGACCTAAACTGCCTTCGTTTCTTTCCCGATTCGTAACCTTATCATGCATATAGGAAACATGTTGATCTATTTCTTGTCATTTTTGCGCATAGTTTCACAGACCAGAACTCATATCTGTACTCTACTAATAATTTAATTTTACTTTACTATTTTATTGAACTACGCGGTAATAATATTGATGATCTTATAGTTACCGTTTTACTGCTTTATCGATTAACTGATGTTGACACGTTCACAATATTGACGAATGCAGAATTTGTACCAAATATTCAAGTTAAAAATCTATAGCATACTGTAACTAGGTGTTTTGTAGAGTAAATATTTTTCGTTTTCGTCTTGTGAGATACCCTTCTATTTTATAAAGCGCTAACTTTGTGTGTCGGTTTGTATGTCTGTATGTGTGTATGTATGTATGTGTGTCCGTCCGCAAAATGAAGTGGTAGGGAAACTCGTGAAGTAAACAGACCGTTAACAAAATCGAGTAACTATGACTTTAGCAATCAATGTTTTGCAGTGCTATCAATGTGATAACACCCCAACGGCTATATAAACACCTACTGAGCATGGTCTCATTCATTCCACATGATGCTGCAATAGCAGCTGGAGAGCAGTAGAGGGAATAGGATAAGATGGAGAAGGGCGAGGGGAGCTAACCGCCAAAAGACCTGAGGTCCAATTAATATCATTCTAAGGTCATGTCACGATTACGGTAATGCCTTCTACTATATAAGACACTTTTTTGTGCATGCGTGCCACCTCCACGAGGTGTCCATGTCACCAGTGGATGGGAGCACATTGGAAGGAGTAAAGCTTACGCAGGTAAGGAGGTCCCGGTGGTTGCCGGGGGACCAATCTGGTATGAAAAGCCAAGTTTTTTTAAAACGGCGCAGCGATCTTCATATCTATTCATGTGAGACATGGGTCGACACAATCCACGAAAGAAGCGTTTTTGGGAAGCAATTCGGGAGTGAGTTCGGCTGCCATACTCTGCCGATTTCAGAAATATTACGACTGACTCCCTCGATCGATGACAGTAACATTTCCTTTTTGAACCTGATGCACCGTAACCCCGCCCCATACCAGAAATTCTTGCGAGATCTGCGTCGGATTGGGAGATAAGGAAGGAGCGTTAATGTAAAGCTTCTGAACAGCAAATTCTATACATTGCCTCCCCTTTCATCATACCTTCACCCTATCTCTTCAAAAACCTTCAGATACAGACATCTTCGAAAAACCAGAAAGGTGCTCTTCTCGAGAAAATTTCAGCAGAGCTTTGGCCCTGTTTGGGGTAAGCCGCTAGTCATAAGCCGCTCTGCCAAGTTCGCGAAGAAATAATTACTGAACTAATGTCGAGTAGATGAACAAGTTCTTTCTTTTGCGGATATAATTTTCTCATGTTCTTCTCCCATATTAAGATATCGAGCGTATGGAACGAGACAGAATTAACTAAGGCAGCACAGCATGCTCAGTTAGTAGGGCTATGTGGGTTTGATTCCGGGAAAGGGGAAAAAGTTCTGCTCATAGGCCAACATCGTCGGCCTAAAGATGGAATCGTGGGTCTTGGTCACAGCGGAGACATAGTCCTTGAGCGACTGTGCTAGCTGATGGCCACGCCGTACCGCTCGACATGATTAGGATGTAACTCCATTGTTACAGTTTGACACCCCCAATTTCCCTGGCCTTAGCACCTTTCCATCGCGTCTCCTGAAGGCATAGGACTTGGATGTTCTGCGCGTCATCAAATCAGCACCTCTCGGGACTTCCCAGTTAGAAATCCCACGTTTAGAGCCGCTATTCCTGTTTCGTTCTTGTTTCTGTTTCTTTTTACTTCTTGTTTCTTTTTTCGACTTGCTTCTTGGCTAAGGCCAATCACTCCTTAGCAGCCATCGCATACTGACCACAGAACTCGGGCGGGGGTTCTGCGCGCCACTTCCGGGTGACGTCCTAGCTTTATCACTGATTCTTTGACAACTTTTAGACATATTTGGTGTGACTGGGGTCTTCATCAGCCGGCCTGTCAACCTGGGCCTGACGCTGGTACTAGAACCATTTTTGCAATTTTTGCAAGGCATGGTTAAGCCTCGGCAGGGATCGAACTCGCGGTTTTCAGAGGTGCAGACATGAGTCTAAACTCTTAACAACATGTCTATTTCTGTCTCTTGTTCTGTTTAATCAGTAGGATCTCGTGAGAGATACAGTCGATATCCGAAAGTTGGGGTAGGTGTGGCACCGGAAGTGACGTGCACTTGATAGAAGCTGCGTGGATAAGCTGTTTCCAGCATGCTTTGCTGATATCAGCAAATGTATGCTGGCAACAGCTTATCCACGCAACTTCTATCAAGTGCACGTCACTTCCGGTGCCACACCTACCCCAACTGTCGGATATCGAGTATAACAGTTGCATCGAACATTCTGACATTACACGACTACCACGTCTCTCAATTGTTAGGGAGAGTAACATTTGAAGGAGTGTGCCATGCACACATCAGAAAACAATATATTTATTCAATTGACTATCACGTGGATGTAACAAAAAATAAGATCTTAATTCGATATCGATCCGACTCAAGCCAGCTTGAAAGCAGACATCTGGATGCAAAATTGTTATTATCAAAGTGGCTAAAAGGCGGTCTAAAGTAAAATATCAAAATCACCTTTGACGTCTGACTTCGACTGGGACGCGGGTGGTAGCGTTGCTGAAAGTACCCTCGCTTTGGGCATTAAGCCGTAGCGTTGATGGGTTAATATGTTGATATTATCATCTATTTTTGATTGAACTTGGAAAGCGAGGAGCTGGATTATTGAATGTTCAATTTGCGTGCTGTAGTTGTGATACCTCGCCGTCAACGTCTGTGCGAAAAGCCCTCGATAGAGGAAATTCGGAAGGAAAGGTGACGAGGATGAATCGGGTTAGGAGAGGCGTGGCGAAATTGTCTAGATATCGAATGTTGAGGGATCATGAAAGTTCATTTGTTTCCTGAACTCTTTACTCTTTTCATTTTCGCCATCATTTCCGCCAAAAACGCAATGCCCACTTCACCTACGACCCCCATTTCCACTCTCTCTGTCCCTAACATTGCCCAGTCATCTGCTATTCTATGGAGCAATTCTGAACACGCGCGAGCTGGGGACCGCAGGTCAATCCAGTTCTCCCAGCTTCGAGTGCGATGGAACGTAAATTGCCGCAGCCTCTTTTTTGATTTGCTATTGTGATCCCAAGTCACCCACCTTCTCAACTACTTCTTCGTCTCTTCGGATTCTGTCGTTCTGTGAGTCCTACAGTAGTAGAGCTCAACGCCGAGTCACGGTAACTGAAGTATCGCTGCTGGCTTCTGTTACAGCTACAGCTTGCGCAGACTGAAGCACTGAATACAATAGTATTCCCCGCATGATACACACAAGCGAGTGTTCCTGAAACTTCATATTTGTGTGTGGGAGATCAAGAAGTTCCTGATACAAATAAAACTACAATATGTTCAAACTTGCTGGAACTTTTCGCTGGGTAATAAGAAATTGCTTCGATCCCTCCAGGCTTAAAAGAAAGCAATCCCACGCGCGTAAACTTTATATGTTGGAAACAAACCTCGTGAGGATTTTTCCAACTAATGTGAATTGTGGTATTTCGTAGATAATCCCAAGTCCGATTCATACGGGAAGGGCGTTTTCTGCGGAACGGTTTGCGTAAACAGTCATCCCACTTAGTGACCCAGCTGTTTTTATAATCTCACATTTGCCTATCATGTTGCCCGCTACCCTTGTGCGTATTGAAGCGTAAATCGGAAAACGTAAGGTTGGTCGCAAGAAAATGCATTAAGAAAGGGCGGTGATGACGGGTTCGATTTCGTGCTACGGAGACGCGGCTTTCGGAGGCCATGTTTGATGTTGCTTGGGAATGTAGGCATGTGAACTAAGCGAGCTTATCCGGCGACCCGCAGATCTTGTGCATTGCATATGCTGCAGTTCACTCTGATATACCCTCTCGATTGCATTCCACGGCGAACGATCGCTTCTCTGCCTGCCATTTGGTCGTCGGCTAGTTGTTTCTGAAAAAGGAGTGGATGGGAAGCATTTAAAATAAGTGACTTCTATTTCTAGGCTATCGAGAGAGATAAGCAGAGTACGAAACTCAAGCCTAAGCGCCTTTCCCTGCAATTTCGTGCGATGAAGTTCGTACATTCTGTGAAATTACGGACAGCTTCGCCTTCTCAGGCTGAGCTTCACTTCTGCGAGCTAATCGTGAGGGTAAGGCGGAGGTGGTGTTGTGACAAGTGGCGCCACTTCCCATGCGCACGGTCCCGCCTCTGTTCGCGACTGCATTCCCTGCCCAGGCCGAGCGAACCTTCCATCTTTCCAAGGTTGGTCACATGGCGATTTGTAACTTGGGGGGATAAGACTTGCAGATCGGCCTGCCTCAGCAATCTTTGAATATGCCATTCGAGTGCCGCTACAACTCCCAATGGAAGTAGAACGCGCAGCGCAGCTCAAAAGGAATTAAACAATGGCTGGGAGGCTTCGGATCGGTTTATCCTGCTGATCGGGGTGTGCCTGGTCGACTGGATAACTTGCCATAGTTTCTCAATTAAATGGCGGAATGCAGAATTATGGATATTCCACGGATGGGCATAAGTGTTCCAGACAGCCTAATATTCGGAATACCTAGAGGATATTACTACGTTTCTTTGCTGTTCATACCCTCTGCTCGTTCATCATCGCGCCGAGCACATTTTTTCTATCTTGCAGTATCCGATTGTACAGCATCAAAGCTCTCGGCCTTATGCGATCCGGGAAGAAGTATTCAGCCAACACTAGAGTTTGGCGCGACATCCATGGTCCTTGAAAATACTATGTCCTCCTGTCATTTTTGTCAATGGCGGGTAAGCAAAAGATTTCAAAAGTTGGCCAAACTCCAAGCATCCATAACTGAGACGGCGCGCAGTTGAATAAGGCGGTGAAGGGGTGGGCTTCCGAAGATTCAGTTGGTTGCAACTGGAGCACGGCATCAAAGTACGACAGCGTTCCTGTAGTTCTTTGCCCCAAAGAAAGGATTGGACATGGCTACCAAAGGAAATGAGAATAAAGCTTGAAATTTTTTTGGAGGTGTGGGGACAGAAAGTCACTGGAAAACTATAACCACTTTTGATAGAGATAGCTTCCAATAGGGAGCAGAAAATTTGAGTGCACGAAGAATTAAAATGGAGGCATGATGATGGAGGAAGGATCAGATCAGAAACGCAGGAGCAGAGACTAGGGTAGTTCGTTTTCTGGGCGGGTTGTCAATGATACTACTTCTTTGGTCAACTTCTTTCTTATTACGGTACGAAAATTATGGCACGTCAAACAAACTGCTCAGTCGTATAGGGTAGATCGCATTACATTTTTATGCAATGGATGGACGATGGAAGAGGGAACTTTTTGCTTACTGCGGCAGTATACGTGACGAAGACCAGAGATCGAAGTGGTTCGATTTGAAGTATGCACGGTATTTTTTATACAAATTCCGCACAACAGACTTTTTGAACATAGCTTAGAGATGTAAACGGGCCCGTCCAAATGAGGTAACAAGGGGATGGCGGTTTCTGTGTGGCAGATGTTAGGAGCCTCGTAGAGCGCGGCGACGCGGCTTGCTTGCAAGCGATATGGCCTCTAAACATACGTACCGACATCATTTGTAGGTGCAGAAGGTGACCTGAAACCGACAAAGAAACACCGCCGCAACAAACATCAGGATAATTGTCCAAAAAGTGTCTTTATCCGGTTGAGACGGACTAATGAAGCATTCTCTCCATCTGAAATCAACCTTTTGAGTACAAAGCACCAGAGCAATACCGTACAAGAGCCGTTAGGTACCGTACAAGCACGATTACCTGTCGTGTCTCTATCACGAATATCCGATGTCAGTGGTGAAAACACATCTTGAATACTTCTCATCATTTTTGCGCTCTCTCCTTGGCCTGATACCTGAAAACAATGGCTCTGACTCTTCAATAGAAGACAAGGAACAAAAAATTGCCCTCTGGGAAATCTTTGCAACTATAAGTATGTCAACAACTATATGTATGTGGTCATCGGATGGAACAAAATTACGAAAATCACACTCTGGACGAGGGCTAGCTCGATTGGAACAAAGGAGAGACATGCGAAGATTTTGGCTGTTTGGGACCTGGCCACGTTCATCGCAGGCTGCATTAAGGAGAAATTTATATTTTATTGGGCATTGGCGGTATTAACAGATTCGAATTTCAAAGATTATTAAAGGACAGTGTCGATCGACGTAGAACAGGATGCAGAGAGTTAGGGAGAGTATTTATTTGCATGAGGTGAAAAAGCGCTTTAAAAGATGTTTCTAGGTAGGCTCGAGAACCAGCTGGAGTCGTTCGCCAACATTGATGGCAGAAATACGGCGAAAATGTGAATGCGAAACACCCTTCAGATTCTTCGAATTGTATACGAAAACAGACGCATTCTTAGTACTTTTCGTTTTTATCGTGAGTGATGGGCCTCAAGCCAGTGAATTTATGGGTGAGATGGAATTACATGCTCTTGTGGACGACTCCTTAGAAACCCCGAATTTGGTTAGCTGATGACCCTTGGAATCGGTTTGCCATGACTAGTATACGCAAGCGTTGGGCTACAGGATGGTCAGGATCGCCTGAGTATTGTTATGAAAGCACAAGAGCTAAGGGGTCGCCAAGAAGGTCGGATCCAGACCTCTTCTCGGTTAGTCGGTCCGGACACGAGGCTCCGTATACTCTGTCCGTTTCGTAGTTTTCTGGTGAGAGAGTATTTGTAAGCAAGAGAAGCGACTCTTTGAGCCTCACGGTTCCAAGGCACGCCTTTAACACTATAGGCATCCAGTCACATCGGGCGGTGGTGTCAGATGAGCCGTTTGCTTGTAAGAAAATCCGATTGGAAGTCGATTTGCTGCTTGCGAGAGGGAGATGTGGCGTTGCGTAGAGACTAACGTAATTGTTCGACTAATTTTCACCGACTGGGCCCTCCATTTCGCAGGACTTATACGTGTTTGCAAACGCAAAAAAATAAGAAAGTGAAACAAAGTGTTCTATGTAGCGGAAAAGGTCCTTTCGAATGAATACGATGTGATGTGAAAACGTGGGTTCTCAACAGAGTTTTTCATTCGAAAACTACTTTTAGGGCAGCCTAATAGGAAATTTTGAGGCGCTTGAGGCACAGATTATGGGTTCAATACGTTCTTGCGCAAGATCTGGTGGGCACGGTGATAAACATTATTTGGCATTCGAAGGAATCCTTCGCGGAAAATTCTTGCATTCTTTTCAACATGAATGTATCAGTTGTGATCACTAGAAACAGCACACAAAGTTTCACGCATGAAGATTCGGTTTCCGAAGAGAAACAAACTCACGAAAATCCATTCTATGGACATCGAAGGTAATTCGGGCGGAGCCAAAGGCGGGCATGGAATAAGTCCGCACAGGGGCGGACTTATTCCATGCCAGAAAGCCAGAAAGAGTTTCTAGTTAGGGCACTCCAAGAACCAAGTGGAAGCATCCCCGTCGCCAGCATTGTGAAAGAACTTTGAACGCGTAGCAGCCCTTTCGGTTTTTCGAATTTTTTACCAAAACAAAGCAATATTTCTGTTCTTTTCATTCTTATCGTGGATAATGAGTCTCAAGCCAGTGATTTATGGCTGAAATAGAATCATGATTTTTCCGTGAAAGATTGCTTTAAGGAGTTCGCATTCTAGCAGTAGTTCGGATTCCCATTGAGTGATTACTCTTCAATAAGAATACAGGATAATATTCAGGGAATCTTCGATTCGTGCCAACTGTCAACAGTGGATACACTTCAGTTGTGCAGAGAATGGTAAGGACAAGGTTCAGGTTTAGACCCACACAAAAACTCCTTTAAGTGGCTAGAAGTGCTAGATAGGCTACCCCAGAGTTCGTACCACCTTCCTACATCGAAAAGCTTCCCTGAGATGCTAGGCGCCAGGGACTCCTGACAGACTCCAGTAAACCTAACATAGTCCGCTCGCCATCGCAGCATCACAAGCGAAACCGTGCACGGCAGGGGCTGTAGTCCACTTTGTAGCTCGCGATGTCGTAGGGCGGTGCTCAGTCAATGAATAGTGTATGTGCTCTATTTTTTTCAGTTTTAAACTGCTCATTGTCTGGCTTT